CATTTTAAAAACTTGAACACCCCTCATTTTGTAGGTCTGTGCGTACGGAATGTTGTCACTATTTTGTTTATGTCATTTTCCGTTCAGTTGTCAAAATGACGTCAAAGAAAGAGGAACAGCGTATCCAAATTTTGCTCGCGCATAAGCGAAATTCACTCAAGCGTCAGAAATTTGATTGCGTTATAATTAACGATGAAATATACGTCAAGACAGATTTCAAGCAGATCCCTGGCCAAGAGTTTACACGGCTACCGAAAAAAGAAAAGTTCAAGATAAATTTAAGCTGAAAAAGTTGTCAATGTTCCCGAAAAAATACTTGGTTTGACAGGTGATTTGCACCTGTGGGCTGAAAAGCAAAATTCTCGTCACAACTGGCATTGTCAACCAAGCTAGTTATGAAAAGAAATGTTTACAAAAATGATTGCTGCCTTTTTTTTAATAAACATAGTTGTTCCGTGCTGTTTTGGCTAGACCTCGCATCCTATCACTACGGGAAAATGGCTCAGGAACGGTATACTGCCAACAACGTGCAAGTCGTACCCAAGGACAAAAACCCTCTAAACTCGCCGGAGCTCCGCCCAATTGAAAAAAAAATGGGTTATCGTTAAGCGGAACCTCAAAAAAAAACTCAGAAAATAGTTTGAAATGAGAAACAGTCCAAAAGCAAATTGACGTTCAGCATCAAATAAGCAACCTTATACAACAACGGTACAAAATCTGATAGAAGGTGTAACACGTAAAGCGCGACAGTTCGCATTTGGAAAATCGGAAGCCTAATAAAATAATTTTCCAGTATTTTGTAGTCATTGAACTTCAAAAAGAAATAATGTTTGATCATTTATACAATAACATAATCACCCAAGTAACCATAGGCATTTTATTTCGGCTTTTTGGCTATATCCAGCTTTCCATGCTGGGTAATGGCGGCCTGTTTGTATGAATAAATGTATCCTTCACTGTGCTTTTTTACACTAACTGGAGGTTTGGATTTTGACCCCTCCCTTTTCCCTCTCCCAAGAACAGAAAAAAATGGAACAACAAACGCCCTCCACTTAGCGTCAAAAAGCACAGTTATTCATACAAACAGGCCGCCATTACCGAGCATGGAAATCTGGATACGAGCCTTATCAGAACTTACAAACACTGTTTTAGCCGTTGTTCAGCTGTATATAGCCAAAAAGGCAAAATAACGTGCCTATGGTTACTTGGGCAGTGTGCACTTAATCATGATTGACCAATTTTTGACCTTCCACTTCTTATTTCTAGATTTTGCACAAACTCTTCGAAGGGTATAAATAGCGGGACCTTTCAATTACAATCGGTTCCATGCGAGGAAACAAGGATGACAACTGTATCAAAACCAAATACTTCATCATTTATCAATAGTGATGGAGTAAGACGATATGCACTAAACTAAGGACACGGGATATACTACAGTAGATCAAATTACTGGTCGCAGGGGTTTTATTTCCTGAACAGAGGGAAGAAGACAGAGGGAAGAATGAACATGAAGCTTTAGTACGATAATTTATTAGTTAGAGAAAATTCTGTAGAGGATAGGTAGATTGAGATCCGCTAGAATACGGCAGTGTGAAATTTGAATTGAAGTTTGATTTAAGCGCAGGGCCATTAATGCGACAGTACTAGTTAAACGCACACTCCTTTACCTATAGTTCATACCTTAATGGATGAGGGGACTTGAGGTATTTCCTTAAATCCACAGGCAAAAGAGTGCGCGTTTGACTTGATCATATACTGTCTGCGGAGGAAGCCACGTCATCCATTAATGTATGAGCTAGGTAAATGAGTGTGCATTTGACTACACTATACCAAACCACCGTTCTCTGTTTGAATGAAACCGAATGACCGAATGATAGCTGCAACCGGATGACGGTTGTTTTGAAATCAGATGATTTTCCTCTCGAATACAGGATGAACATTCAAGCTGAACATTGCATTAGGTCCTACATACTTAGATTTTTTTGCCGAGATTGGCACCACCAATGGCTCATCAATGGCTCGGCATTTATTTTTACTGATATCTCAGCAAAATTTATGTTTGTTAGCCGAGATCTCGGCAAAATTCCCATTTGTTAACTGAATCTCGGCAAATTTTGCACTGAGCTCCAGCAAAATAGATTGCCGAGCTGCTCGGTGGTGCCCATCTCGTCAAAAAATCTAAGTGTGTCAGTAACATTGATCGATTCTCTTCGTCGACTTTCTTTTTCGTTAATAACATGACCATATAGCCGTTTCTTGGTGGATTTGTCGTATTAAATGCTGGATGAAAGCTGCTTTTATCGTTTTGTGTGCTGAAAATGTCTTAAGATGGCCGTGGGGTTACAAAGAGAAAGTCGACGAAGAGAATCTGTCAATGTTACTTAGGACCTTATGCAATGTTCAGCTTGCATTGTTATGAAAAGGGATAGGGCCTTCAGTTGGAATGCGTAATGCTTTCTGCAGAATGATAGTCATCTTAAATTGAAATTCATTTGGTAATGGCTCAACCCCTTAAGGCATATCATTCAAATCGATGATGTAAATAATTCTATCGAACGTTATTTGCTGCTCTGAGTAGACAAACGAGATGGAAGCATAGCCATCGCTATCAGAGGTGGTAAATTGGCTATTCCGTGGTGGAGGAAGTTTCCTCTACCCACAAGTAATTTTTGTATCCATGATGAATGGCCGTTCATGGCTATTCAACAATGTAAACAATCAAATTAATAATCTAATCTAAAGCATTTTCAAGTCGTCCTATCCTTAAATTGTTGTCCTCTGAGCCCTATATGTTTTACAGCCAATTCAAATAAATATCATCCTTTATTTGGAGGACAGTCATGTGGATGCTCATCAGAAGATTTTTTTTTTCAATCTTTATTTTGGAGATTTTTAGCCATAGGCTAGTTCATCTCTCACATCAGAAGATGACTAATTCAACCATAAGGAAATCATCCAAAATTCGACAGCATATTGTTAAAGGGCTCGAGCAATACAATAATCAGTCGAAGTATTGCGGATGTTTTCGTTCAGTGTAGTACTGTCGCATTAATTGGCAAATCAAAGTTGGCCCGTGGAGGATAGAAGAACTATGAAAGTGATGATGATTTAAATATTGCAGGGTGAGGTATTGCGCGTCTTTTAATAAATTAGAGTATGGCGGACTCCATAACGTGCAGGTGAAGATAGCCGCGAGATAGACGCCACTTCAAATGCTTATGAAAAAATACCCGCGCAAAATAAACAACTATGTTTCTTCTACTGTCACTCAGATGGCTCTAGTGTGCTCACTTTTCACCACTGGAGTCACTCAAAAGTAACAGTATGCTAACTGTCAAATTCATATGGTTTTAACAAGAGTTGGTGAATCTGTAATATAAAGTAACCGAAAAATTTGCTGCACTGTAATTTGTGATGGCAGTTAATTAGCCATCAATATTGGATTTATCATGCAACGGGCAATATACTAGTGCAATCTTAAAATGCATTTTATGCAAATTATTTTAATAAAATCTGATTGCTGCGTTAGTAGAAAACTTAAGAGCTACTCAAAGGACATATAATAAACAAAAATTTATTTCTTTTCAGATTTTCTGTTGCATACATAGCTTTAAGATTTTTTCAGCAATCAGATTAAAAAAAAATGCTTTGATTTTCCAATGGCCCTTCGCTTAATTTCTACTTCTATTCAATTTTCACACTGCTGTACTCTAGCGTAACTATCAACTTATCCTCTTCAGAACTTTCCCTACCTAAAAAACTATCGCACTAAAGCTTCATGTTGATATTAGTACCAACCGGTGGAAGCTAACGATTTTAAATTGGCTCACTACTTGACTAGCCTATTGGTCCGAAGCAAACGATTAACGTACCCCATTCTAGTCGAAATTTTAGTACTACACTATGTTTTTTTGGATTCGTTATGAAATTTTGACCGATAAAATGAGGGGTTCGTGGATTTTCCTATGTTTCGAGGGGTGCATCGATTAGCTTGGGACCGAAGAGAATACCAGAGCTGAGCCAAAAAGTTAAGCCCATTTTTTCTGGACCTTCTAGTCTTAAAGTTACCTCTATGTTAGTACCGTGGACCCCCTGGTAATCTGACCGTTCTTAATCTGAACACTTTTTAGTTTGAACCCCGATTAATTTTATGCTATCCCTCTTACAAAAGAATCCGCTGGGTCGCGACCCATAGATTTAGAAACGCTGCCCTAAGCTATCATTTGGTGGGTGAGCCCATGATTTCATGTCAAAAAGCTATACTGCCCAACTAACAATTTTAGCTGCAGATTAGCTTATACAGCCAAAAATTGGCTTATACAGCTAATATTTGCCTGTATAAGCTATTCTGCAGCTAAAATTGTTTGTTGGGTGGGACACCCTATCGTACATCCTATGTGATAAACGAATAAGAAAATGAATAAGAAAATTATCGCATAAATTGTCCCATTGTGCACCGACACAAAGCCACACGTGGAAAACGTGCTGCTGCTGCCGCCGCCACTAAACACAAACATGAACAACACGAGGCGGGAGCGAGACTTCAAATCCCGCGACGAGTGGAGAGCGCCAAGAGAGCTCCTATCTCTGATGACGCGGCTGCATGTGTGAGTTTTTTGGGGACACTGGTATTCGCGGTCCAACTTGCGTCCCCCGTTCCATTTTTCCTTCACTCTCGCTGGGATGAAAGATTTTTCCACCATCAATTTTTCATCAATCTGATGCCTAGGCTAGCGACGGCCTCCAATCAAACATATTCCACTAACTGTCACAACCAATCATCACTGGCACAATTCTTCTTTCACCCTGCATTTCCACGGGCAGTTTTCTTCGCGATGAGTGCATTTTCCTACAACACTTCGAATTTTACTAAGGCCAAGATCATGTCAAAATTGTTGCAACGCTATGCCAAGTAGGTTTTCACTTCTTCTGCAATAGGCGTGAAGAACCTTGACACAAGATCGAACGTTCGACCACCAACAGTATTTTCGTTTTCCCAC